ATAGATAGATAGATAGATAGATAGATAGATAGATAGATAGATAGATAGATAGAGATACATAGATAGATAGATAGATAGATAGATAATATATAGTGAGATTATGCTTTTTGAAAAAATGGGTAAGAATCAGGGTACATTATATATTATTTTTGTAAACCATATTAAGAAGCTTGTACATGCCATTATACTGAGACGGTTGGCCAAATAGGCCTTACAAAGAAACAAGAACACAAACATTACTAGCTATTAGTAATCAAGTGCAATTTTCAAAGTTTTATTCAAAGACCTGCTGAAACAAATGTGTTATTAAAAGCTGGCAAGAGAAATGTGTTTTAATTTCAATGTAAACATGATACTCTGGCTGCAGAAGTATAGTTCAATATTTTTTTCAAGACATTACCATCTCCACATTACTTACGGTGAGATTTCATTTTACTTGTTTTGTGATCCTTCAGTTTCATGAAGGAAAACTTTGAGAAATGGGCATTGTGTATCTTTTTGAGTATTCTCCATTATACTTCTTTGGAGTTTGGATCTACCGTATTAGTCCTTATGTATTAAATGTGAGGAAGTCAATAAAAACAATAAAGAGATCTGATTAAATCCACATGCAATAATAAAAAGCTTATAATAATCTATAATGAAGCTTATAATGATGAAAAGTGAGCCAGTTTGTTGTAGTGGTAAAGGCATTTGGCCTAGAACCAGGAGGCTGTAAATTTTAGTTCTGTCTTAAGCATGAAAGCTAGCTGAGTGACCTTCACTAATCACACTCTCTCTCTCAACCCACCCCACCTCACAGGGCTGTTGTGGAGAAAGATGAGTAAGAAATATTATTGGAATGTTTGCTGCTTTGAGGTTTATATTTCTTTTTAAACGCAGGATAAAATTCTTTAAAAAATAGTGAATAATGTTAATGTTAAGTTGAATCTAAATTTCCAGAGCGAAAGGTTTTGAAAAGTAATAATAAAGACAAGTTTCTTCAACCTAATGCTTTCCAATTATGCTCAGCTACAAATTTCAGAATTCACAGTTAGCGGTCATATTGGTTAGAAATTCAGAAAGGTAATCACATTTAGAAGTCCACCAGTTAGGGTTGGCTATCTTGGGTAGTACATGTGCTGGCTATGTAACCAGCAATCTGGAGTTGCTATTATCATGTAATCTAGAGTGGCTGATGCTTTGGTTTCAGATTTAGAGATTTGAGTTTACCAACACAGATAATGTTGAAGAGTGTTGAAGGTGACATGTCCATCTCTGATTTAGACCAACAAAGAATAACTGGTTTTGCCCAGTCATTTGTCACAAAAATAAGTTGGTCTAATGATTTAGACACACAAGTGCAGTCTAAATTAACCCTTACTGGACACAGGATGACTCTAATATTTTCATGCTTTCCATTAATGAATATAATATTTATTTTGAAAGAGGGCCAATATGTCTGTGTGTGTATAATTTTTGATCAGCCTTTTTTTTCCCAATCAACAAACTCTTTGCCCAAGTACATAACTACAGAGTTACCCACATAGGCTAAGCATCACAGCTACTATTCAACACAATAGGATGAGGGATGGATGAAGAGAAACATGTGCGAGTAGTACATGAACTAAGCCTAGGAACGAAAGCTGTCCCTTGAAATATTTCTTGCTCTGTGTTAACATATGATTGTGCCAAAAATGACCAGGTCAAAATTGCAATCAGAGGAAGGAAAAAACAGCTGACACTATTTTCTTCTTTCTGGACAAGAATATTTCCTCTTTGAACTCAAGGTTGGGGTTGAACGAACCTTCCAAACAGGTATGAATAAAACCTCTTTTCATCAAGCAGGCATATAACTCTAGCAAACAGTAAGGCTACTTCAGCCAACTTTGAAAAGAAATTCTTTGTGTGGGCTCCGAGGCAGATCTCTGGAAGATTCTGCATAGCCCTATTTAGGATGCTCTAAACTTAAAAGCTCTTCCAAACACAACTATATTTGAATTAAAAACATAAAAAGAGTAGAATGAATCGAGACTGACCTTTTTAAAAGAAAATAATCAAAAAAGAAAAGAAAGAAGACAACCGCTGATTTGGTTTCAATAGTCTTTAAAAAGCATTAAACATTTTAAATTGTATGAATGGAAATAATCTCCTATCTGTATTAACTGCAAAGTTCCTTTATTACATTAAATTACAACATTAATTGAAAAATATTTTACTCCTAATTTTCCATTTGAATATTCCCATTTATATTGGCATCCTTTTATAATAGAATACACACTTGAAAATTAGCATGTAATTGTCAAACAGAAACTTATTAGAATGAGTGAAATTGAATTAGTGGGGGAAATATCTTCAAAGAATAATTTAAGGAAAAAAACTAGGCTTCACAGATGGCTTAAATATTATTCGCAGTGTCTGATCTCACTGACCAGACTTTGCTGTTTTAGGGTTGGAGACAAGATATGCTTTTATTAATGAATAATCTTTTATGGAGTGTTAATAGTTTTGTGAATAAGAAAACCTTTCAAAAGTTTAGCTATCCTAGCATGCAGCTGCAATAAAAGAGACAGTTAAAAAACTATACAACCAGATCAGGGACTTTTCTTATGGAAGGGATTCTATTGTATCAATCATAGAATGATTTGGATATAGATGATCAATTCCAAATTGGTATATTGGCTTTATGATACACCTCACCTGATTCTTTGGATCCAGTTTTGGACAAGGACGCCCTCCATTGTATGGTTTCTCCTTAAGCCACCTGGACCGAATTTTCACTCCTGTCCCACACGATGAACTACAAGGAGACCAGTCAGACCAGTCACTTAATTTGCAGTCAAATGGGCAAGGTACAGTGCAAGGCTGTTCAATATAACCTAAAAAAGGGGAAAGAAGGAACAGTTAGAAATTAGGGGACAGCAAAATTATTGCATTTTTGAAGCTGCATTCAGGGTCTATGTCCTTGGTGAAAGAAGGACCATGAATTTCTTAATGCATGGATTGAACAGGGCACTGAAAACTTGGAGACATCTAGAACAGAATATTTGGAAAAATATATAATAATATTTCTATCATTTTCAACATGTGATTTCATTTTAAGAATAGCTACATACCTTACTGATTTTAACTGGTTCAACATATTGCATAAATATTGCCATAAATAATTACACGAGACTTAAAGCAAAGACACAATCCTCTTTACTTGACAAAAGAAAGTAGCTCAGGCGCTATTAATACTGCAGTAGCTACTATAAATATATGCCAACTTCATGCATTGCAACCTCTTAAATATGTGCTAACTGGCTCTCTAATGGAAATATATTCATCTTATCACCTAACACTTTCGTGAATGCCTGCCGTTAATATCACTATCAATATTTAACACAGTGCATTTTCCTTCCACACTCACTATCTACAATGCTGGAAGCCCAGTTAGATGGCATGCCCAATAGGCTTGTGTTGATGCAAAGCACTTGAGAAAAGTCAGACTTGATTAGCAAGTGCATAAGAAATCACAAAGGGCCGTACTCAAGCTTAGGAAGTCAAGAAAACATCCCCAAAGAAAGCAGGGTTAAACTGCTTCTTTATGATTATCAAGAAAGCAACTTGAATATGCTTATGAAATTAGCAGGATTCAAGTTCAATGCAAAGAGACTTACTAAGACATTCTTCCAAAAGTTATTAAGAATATTCATAGGTCTGAAGAGGTCAATTTTAATCCACAAATTACTTAAGTTATGTCTGTCTATCATTTTTAACCCCTCCTTTTTTATCACCCTGTAACTCCTTAGTTTGGGGTACAGTTGAAGCAAACAGATGAAGCTGGACATTTTACTGAGTGACACGGTGGCCTAGTGGTGAAGATGCTTGCCTCCATTCGGAAGATCCTATGTAGTGGCAGTTATTTCTCTTCTAGGGCACAAAGAAAAAATATCTACTGCGAACTGTCCATCCATCATCTACCTACCTACCTACCTACCTACCTACCTACCTACCTACCTNGTCTTAGCCACTGAGCCACCAGGTCCCTTCTTTATTTACATGCATATCGATCTATCTTTCTTTCTCTGTGTTATTCATGAGCACCTTCCTTCTTCCCATGACAGTATATATTGATCCATATCTGTTCTTTACACTTGCATATCAAAAAGAAACTATAAACTCTATAAAAGAATTCCTATCATTAGGCAGAGTGAAGCAAAATCTCCACAGGTATTTGTTTATTCCATTAGGCAATAAAGCATAATGGGTGACCCAGTTATATGTGGGAAATTTGCCAGATGATTTTGAATACCTATTACAAAGAAATTCTTCAACTCAGGAGAAACAAAAACAAACTTCAGTTTCCCAACTACCTTGTGACAGTCCGCTTAATTAATTTTCAGCAAAGAGTAAGTATCTTAAAGGCAAATGTTGAAATAAAATGATTATCAACAGAATAACGGGAGTAAATAGCTATTAATTCTCACGCAGTATTTGTTATCATGGGCTTTGTAGATAAATTATATATCCGATAGGCAATATCATGGGAAGGGATACAAATATATAGCCACTGGATAAAAAATAAAAAGGTATTAGTCAAAATTCACTGCAGAGTTCTTTAAATGATCCATAGCAATGATAAAGCACCATATTTTCCTTGTTTTGGATCGAAGTATGTTAAGATGTTTCCTTTTTCAGTTGGTTCCTCCAAAGTTTAAGAAACTAAACAACACAGGATATTTCTAAGAAGACAGGATTCTTCCTCCTTTCCTCCTCCCTGTAACACATAAAACATGAGTACTTCATAAAGGTAATTCATGCCCACATATTCCAAATGTAGTTCAAACTGCAGGTCTTGATTGCTAAAGCCCAAGATGTCTTGGGACTGAGGTATTTGCTGGATGGTCCTCTTCAAATTGTTCTTATCTGCCTGACTCTTACATGTTGTGTAGAACTAGTTTCCAACTTCTGAGAAATAAAGGGGGCAGAGGCCCACAGGGTCTCAATTTTCTACTGGTGCACTTGTAGTTTGGAATAATTGCCTCCTAGAAATCTGATTTACTGACAGCTGAAAATGCACAGGATCTATAAGCTCCAGGAATAAAAGTTAAGGAGCACAGTAAAAAAAGGAGTCTAAAATTAAATATAAACTAATGACAAACTTAGAGCAATCTGCATTAGAACTGACAATAAAGATAGCAATAGCAGTAGACTTATATACCGCTTCATAGGCCTTTCAGGCCTCTCTAAGCGGTTTACAGAGNCCATCCATCCATCCATCCATCCATCCATCCATCCATCCATCCATCCATCCATCCATCCATCCATCCATCTACTTTAGATCAGTTATGTCCAATTTTTTGACTTGCCTAGGCACACTGAATAAAGAGGAATTGTCTTGGGCCACATATAAAAAGTATAATATAGTTAAGAATAATTGATGCCAAGATTAAGAAAGGTTTTTTTGTTGGTCCAAAATAGATCAGATGTCATCAATGACAAGTAGTTCAAATATCTGTTGGTGGGGCCACAGAAAATCATTTTGAAAGCATTCAAGGATGTTGTTAAGAATTTTCTTGGTAATTACAGAGTACTAAACTACATACAAGTTCATGAATACATTTTCTGCATTCACACTTGGACATTCTTCCTAAAAATCTAGCTGCACTGAGTGACAAACATGGTGTACGATTTTACCATGACATTGCCACAGCAATATCAGGGCAACTGGAATCCATCAATGCTGGTTGACTATTGTTGGACATAACCATGAGATGCATTGGAACTGAGTACAAACGAAAATCAGCAGCAAAACACTTTTGGCCATATGGAACTCATGCAGTCATTAAAGGTTAATTTCATATTTCTTAACATACCTATGTGATATGGTGATTCTGAAATTATATTTGTGTTCTGTTTAGAAGGATCTATCAGTATCACCAAGTGTTTTTCAGGAAGCAAAACCTTTGAAAATGCCTTGTCCTATTCCTTAGACATCGCAAAAATGTTAAGCAGATGCATGAATATAGTGTCCTTTCCTGGTATAAGAGTCACTGAAAGTGCACCGGAACACTATCTTGACTTGCATTTAAACATCTTGAAATCATCCTATGATTTTCTATCATTATTATTATTTTTATCTGCACTTTATTGTCTGAGATTGATACTCCAACTATTTACTCTCTGTCAAAAACTTTAGTATCCTCAGATCCCTCAGTATTGAGAAAACAAAAGGAAAGCAGTATTGTTTTATCCCCAAAGAATGAAATTGCACATGCTGCTTTGCTATAGGAGGCAAAGACTAAGCTAAAGCTATAAACCAAATTGGCAGAACAGGCTGATGGCTTTTGCACTGAATTTGTTTATGACAACGATAGATGCTTAAAAGGCTTTCTGTTACGGTGTTTTATTAGAATACCGGTAACTAGTTAAAACTGTCTGGATCCTTAAGCCACAATAAAATTAATTTTATAGAGAAGGGCAAAAGCAATAAATACTAAAATTGGTTGGCATCATTTATCTTTTCTTGCTGCATTTTGCTGCCCTTTTGCACTGGAGTCACAGAGCAAATTGATAGTTACAACCATTTTTCCATAATAGCTCTATATTGCAACTCTTCCCTAAGCTGTATAACAGTCTAATTTAAAATGTACACTAATTTGGTTGGCTATTTTGCATACCAATATTTTCTTTTAGCAGATTCTTTAAAGATAAAGGTTCCCCTCGCACATATGTGCTTGTCATTTCAAACTTTGGGGGGGGGGGTGTTGATCATCTCTGTTTAAAAGCCAAAGAGCCAGCACTGTCCAAAGACGTCTCCATGGTCATGTGGCCAGCTGAAGGTGCATAGAACGTTGTTACTTTCCCACCAAAGGTGGTTCCTATTTTTCTACTTGCATTTTTTACATGCTTTCAANTGTCTTACTTTTTGCAAGGAACAAACCTGTATATTACTAATAAGACCATTCTCTTGGTTTCAAAGGACATTTTGAAGAAGACAGAATCTTTAGATCAGATTAGGATTAACTCTGTATTATTTTTATAATTTTGTTATAGTCAATTGACTGATTCAGTAAAAAATTATTCTGTTCTCTCTATTCATGAATGTCTAATGCAGGATTGGTCTCTTTATTAAGCTTGGTCTCCATCAACAAACCAGCATAATTATTTATATGAAATTCCAATTTAACTTAGCTTAGTAATTATATTACATGATCACATAAACAATCAAGAGGCAGCAGGATGTAAGGCTAAATTGAATGGGGTATCCTGTCATGAGCACTGCTTCAGGGGTGGCTTTTAGGCACTATGGAGTTGTTTCTATCTCTTTCTTCTTCTCTGGATCTCAAATGAAGGGCCTAGATGACCAGTGAATACTTTTAGACAGTGTATAACATGGTAACATAGTTCAACTGTGAAAATGTGACAATCCCAGACCAGGCCAAGTCAAAAAATGCCAGGGAATTTCTAAAAGCCTTGTACTCTGACAAATCAGACATCAATAGACACATAGACATTAACAACGTCTATAGACTATGCAAAAGACACAATCAACCAGCCCAAAAGATAAAAAAGACTCCAGCACCTCTCCACTGTAGTAATCAGCACACAGATCAGCATAGATTAACTCCAAGAATAACTTCAAACCAACAATCAAGTAAGCAATATCCCAATCAAGAATGCCAAAGAGCCATTAGTAAGCAGCTCAACGAAAAATCTCTAAGACTGCCCCCACCTACAAAGAAAGTCAAGACACCAGAATATAATCTGACAGCAAACAGCACTCCTTACTAACCCTGATGATGTTATCTAATTACATCAATGAAACATCTGCAAGAAAACACGCAAGCTCAGAGAGCACCAACGACCCCTAATAATCATAGTTTAAAAATAA